GCGTTTTCGCGCGATTTTAATTACTCCGCCGTCGTCTCGCATTTCCGCGCCGCCGCGCGTTATGCGCGAAAATTGAATGCGGCGGTCACGTGGTTGCGCGCGGTGGAGAAGAATGGAGGCTTAGCCCCGATTGGCTTGGACAGCGACGAGCGTCCTTGTCGAGAAACCTCTGCATTTTTACGCGCCGGGGCGTAAAAAGCCAGACGCGCCTCGTCATGCAGTTTCGGCGGCAACGGGCTACATAGGTATATATATTGCATGGCGCGGGCGCACCGGACCAAGTGCCTATGCATTTTTCATAAGTCGTCGCGCGATCCTTTCGGAGCTTATTTAAACTCGTCGCCGTCCCTGTTCGGTGAGCTCTCGCCGGTGCTGTGGTGTGTGTTTGCCCTCACTGGGAGATATTTTCCCAATTTCCTCGGCAACGACAACTCTCTGCCCTCTCCCGCGTGTAAACGTTGGTTTATTTTTTAAAAAGCTCTCTCTCTCTCTCTCTCCCGCGCAAGGGGATCACGAACCGTGGCAAGATTTATGATCGCGCCTCTCCCCCTTCCTCTCTTCCCGAGTCACTTCATTGTCGAGAGGAATCCATTCCTCTCATCTCTCCCCCCCCCCCTCCATTCCCTCGCGGTGATCCCACACCTATAAGAAATGCCATCGACATTGTCGACCGCGCGCACCTTCCGCGCTGACTCCGCTCCGCTTTTCTCTCGTCGCTTCCCTCTTTCTTTCCTCGCGATTCTCGCACTTCTCTCCTCCCCCCCCGCCCTTCCCTCCCGCTGCGCTGCAGCGGCGTTCCTTTTGTCCCATCGTCCCGCGAAAGAGAGCTCGAGGGTCGCATTCGTACGTTCGTATCCCGCGGAATGCAGATCCGTTATAACGGATCGATCGGCGAGGAGAGACGCGTCTCTCTCTCTCCACCTCTCTCATATATCCCGCCTCTATCCACCTATAACTCCCTTTAATCGTCCTTGGCGTTCTCGCTCTGTCGCGTTGGATTTCTCCGCTCCCTCACCCTTCCCCCTCCCCCTTCCTCTTCCTCCCCCGGTCTCTCTTATCCAACGACCATCTGACGCTCTCCCCTTAATATCGGCAGAATACGCGAGAGATCCGAAATTCCGATAAATCCGTGTACCAATAATGTCACGTCGCGCGCGGCGCGGCACGGCGCGGCCGCTGCTTGCTATATAGCTATAACTAAAACGCAAGTCGTTATCGCATTTCCCTCTTCTCGCGTCCTCACGGCGCTTTATTGTCTCCTCCGCACGTCGCGTGCGCGATTATGGAAAATCTGCAGTTGCGTCAATCAAGTTGTGAATTTTCGACACGAGAAGCCCAGTTTGCATTTTCCCTCGTCTCTCGTCTCGTCTTAAGGGGTCTATCCATCCCTGAGGCATTAAAATGATGCCTAAGTTTGAGATTTTTTTGTAAATTTTGGATAAATAGATAACTTTATTTAAAAGCTGTTTAGAGGACATTGTTGTACATATATAAGAAACTAAAAAAATTTTTATTTTTTTATGCACAAAATTGCGGCGCAATGGCCTACTTGCGGAATCCCTTTTTTCTGTTTTTTCAAATCGTTGTACAGGATTCCATATTAAATTATTTTTACGAAAAGTTCGTATTTTTGTTGATACAAGTCTTTCGTAAAATAGCTGCCATTTTGAGAAAAATCAATATTTTGAAAAATCCCTACGTACCTCTCTAGTGTTTAATATGTAGACAATGAAAATTCTTTGTGTTTTGTTCAAGGTCAAATCGTGTGCCTGGAATCCTGTACACCGATACAAAAAAAGGGATTCCGCAAGTGTAGGCCAGTGCGCTGCCATTTTGGACATAAGAAAAATAAAAAAAATTTTTTTTGGTTTCTTATATATGTACAATAATATCCTCTAAGCAGATTTTAACTAAAGTTGTCCATTTACCCACAAAAAATCCCAAACTTAAGGTATCATTTTAAAACCTCAGGGGTGGGCAGACCCTTTAATCGCGGCTCCTCGCCGCGAGACGTAATTACTCTCTCGACGCACACTTTATTTCAATCTGGATACATTTCTCCTCCCTTCCGCTTTTCTTGTCTATCACGCAAAAAATGACTTAGCATTATCAGTTAATTAAATATCAGTTAAATAAATAGTATAGTTCGAACTTTGCTGTCATTGCTATAAAAGTTAGCTGTTAAAGATAAAATATATATATTTGTTGTGAGATACAATTTTATTAACTAAAGTAACAGGAACAGCTAAGAAAGTCGCACATGGAATGAATGATTGATTTGTTGAAAAATTTAAAAATTTTGCTAAATATTTCTCAAGAGAATTAGCTAAACGTCATTTTGATTCTATAGCAGCAAATATTTTTCGCCTCAATTTTAACAACTAAGTAAATTTAGCTTTGGCAGTAACGATATTAGCTGTCCCTATTTTAAAGACACACATTAGCTGCCACGGCTAAATATTTTAGCTGCATTGGCTAATCCTTTCTCTACGTGTACATACGACCGCGGTTTAATATTCGATGGATGATGATTAATTGATTCGCAATTACGCGAAAAATGCAGATTATCGTGTTCTCTCTCTTTCTCTCTCTTTCCGCCTCGTTCCCGTCCCCTTTTCTACACGTAATTTCATTCCAGGTAAAAATACTTGTTCTCCCAAATGACGGCGGGTACCCTTTCCTTTATTGATCGTTAGCTTTATTCCACTCGAGTCATCTTGAATATGAAGATTTGGGTCGTTGAAGTTCGAAAGTGGAGCATCAAGAACGCGCCGATGACTGGCGATTGAAAAGATTGCGATTAGAGAAAAAAGTGGATCCCCCAAGGACAACAATGCACAAGAGATCCACGTGGCAGATGCAACTTTGCTCATTAATATTCGACGATCGGCCGCTATTATGGCGCGGTACTCACATTTAATAAGATCATCCGCATTTTTCTTTTTATCGGTCCTCTCAATATAATTCTGTTTACATTGGCCTCTTTCGATATCGGAATATCCCATTATGGGTGCTACCAATAACAAAGCAACTTTTCCTATTATAATTAAGAGGTAAGTAACGTTTAATAATTACTTCGCATTCGTTTTGAATATATATATCCCGCGCGCGCTCTCCTCTTCAATTCTATAACCCGGCGAGGATTCCATTGATACGTACGTGCTGCAGCTGGCGAATTGCTGCTGGCCGCGGCCGCCGGCCATTCTTCGCCGTGTAAGTGACGTAAAACGCTCATTAATATCGGCAAGCAGATTGTGCCACTATTCATCTTCCCTCGTTTTCGCTTAGTCACCCAGTCTCCGTATCTCTCCGAAATTTTTGCCGTGCACCGTTCTAATGCCGCCGCGTTTTGCGCAATACGCGCGCGCGAGTAGTCGATACCGCGCCGCCTGCGCCGATCACGCGGTCTGTTAAGAAATCACGGAGCGCGCAAATGACGACGGCGCGGCGGCGGCGGCGGCGTCAAATCGAAGCTGCAATTTTGTCAGCGCTCGTTAGTATACAGGAACGGCGCGGCATCGGTGTGCGCTTTTTGACATTTGAAAATGAATGAATCTGCAACACTTTCAGGTGATAGCGTTACATAAAGTAGGTATGTATAGCGTTACATAAAAGCCGTTAATATTCAGTGTTCGATGATTGTAACAGATTCGTACAACGGCGAAGGGAATTTAGTGGAGCGCGCGTTGCGCTAAAAAGCAACGAAAGAAAAACAGTGGAATTTATACCGCTGTTGTTTGTATGATTACCACATCGCTATTCGCAAAATCCCTCCCGATTCTTTTCGCTCGACGTTATATTAAAACACGTACCAAGCTCATTGTGAGAGCTCTCTCTCTCTCTCTCTCTCTCTCTCTCGGGAATTTTTGTTTGCGGTCGCATCCGCCACGCAACGTCGCACAATGCACGATCAGTGCTGTCCACATTTGAATGCTTATCCCCGCGGCAATTTCCCCCCGCTATCCGTCCCACGCTATACTTGTTCTCTTCACCGTGTCCTTCTTCCTCTTTTTTCCTAATTCAGGAGCCGCGCGCGCGCGCTCGCGCTGTAGTATAATCGGAAATAACCCCGGCGCGAGCCCCTCGTTGAAATTCGAGCGGCGTGCACGGGCGACGAGTGTGTATTCGAATTTTACTCGTTACCCCGTATTACCCGTGACGTTACTTCGCCCGGCGGAATAAAAGAGGAGGAGCTGCGCGCGACAAAAGAAAACTGCTTACGTAGGCAGGGAGAGAGAGAGAAAGAGAGAGAGAGAGAGAGAGAAGCCCTCTGAATCAGGAATTCTCTTCTCCCCCGTGATTTTATACATAGGTACGTCTTCATCGTTCGTACTAACAATTTATCCGATATTGAAGTCCTGCACGCTGCTCTCTAGCTCTAAAAATGTAAATCCGCGTACGTCCAGTCTCCTTGAAAGCTACGACTGCTTGAACTGCTAGAAACATCTATTGTTACATTAGCATTGAGATTCTCGAAATCGGATCGTTAACGAGAGAGAGAGAGAGACAGGGGTGGAGAGAGGGATCGATTCAACCAACGGGGAACGAGAACCGATCCTCTCTGAGGGAGAGCGCGAGCAGGGATACAGTATAATATAGAGAGAAAGAGAGATAGAGAGTGAGAGAGGAGAAGTAGGGAAAAAAAGGAGTAGAATAGAACTAGCTCTCTTCGCGACGCGAGAGATCTCGACTCTCCAGAAAATATTCGCGCAAAATCTCCGATCAACGTCTCGACGCCCGCGGCGCCTCTCGCGCGCGCTCGCGTTTAATCGCTGCATATCCATTTATACGCGCGTGCATGCCGAACCCCGCGCCAGGTGTGGACTTGCCTTCTCTCCCGCAGGCGGATCCTTCCTCCTCTCGTCGGCCGATCTATCGGGGACGGGCGGCTCGCCCTGCAGCTCGCGTCGACGATCAACGATATTAATGACGACGACGCGGCGTCGGTTCGCTCCCGATTACGAGGATTGCTCGCGCGCCGCCTGCGACGTAAATCGGGGTTACTCGCCGCCCAGCGAGAGCGCCTGGACGATCCTCGGGTCGGCCTTGCTACCCTCCCGGAATTCCTCGAGCGTGAGCTTGTCGTCGTGGTTCTTGTCCATCTGGTCGAAGATTTTGTCGACCCTCTTCTGCGGGGTGTTCTCGTCCTCGGCCTGCGGCTGCTGCCCCTGAAACACCCGACGTTTGTTCCCCGCTCAGAGCTTATACGCTGATCAATGCGGGAGACCATCGAAAATCGCCACTCTATCCTTACTACAAAATACCTCTTTGTTGCGGATTACGTGTCTATAAATAGCATGCCATACTTCGGGAAAGAAATGTCGAACGTACAAAGAACGGGAAAGAACGATTTTATTGCCTTTACTGGAAGGTCTGAAAATTTTATTGGATACAGATCTAAAAATAATTCTTATTATTGGAACATCAAAATAATTTTGTTGGAAAGTCAAACCGATTGCTCGAAGATGAAAACGTTTTACGGCAATGATTATAATTTTTTTTAAATTAAAGTATCGGCTGAATAAATTAAAAATTAACACATTAAAACAATTAGGGGCAATGAGCCAAGAGCTGGATAATAATAGCTAAGAATAAACGTACATGGAAAGAACGATTTTGTTGAGCAGCAATCATTTTGACTTTCGTACAAAATTATTTTGATTATTGAACAAAAATTATTTTCTGGATTCAGCAAAATTGTTCCTTCCGTGTATATTTCGAAGACGATCCAAACATCATCATCATTTCAAATCATTTCAAATTATTAATTAATAATAAAACATAACAAAAATTAACTGCGTAAATGTATGTTCTAATTTTTGTTGTTTTATTATTAATTTGTAATGATCTACTGAAGATGGCTTAATGTAAGCCGAAACGTTTGAATCGTCTTCGAAATATACGTTTATTCTTAGCTATTATTATCCAGCTCTTGGCTCATTGCTCCTAATTGTTTTAATGTGTTAATTTTTAATTTATTGAGCCGTTTTATTGAGTCGTTCGAAATATACGTTTATTCTTAGCTATTATTATCCAGCTCTTGGCTCATTGCCCTTGATTGTTTTAATCATTTTTTAAGTTTCTAACAAAATTATTTTCAGATTTAAATTTTTTAACCTGCCAGCAAAATCGTTCTTTCCGAGTAACTTTTCAGAAAACGTCAATTTGTTAGCACAAATCCCACTTTTCATATATGTCGAATCAATCTGATATTAAAAAATATACTAGAGAAAATTCAATTCCCGTTATCGTGAAATTTTATCATTATTAGCGACAAGTGATACGGAAAATGATACTGAGAGATATATTTCACTATCCGTTATTACTTTATTGCGAACTCTGATAACTGATAGTGCCACGATGCTTTGCGAAATGGTTCACGATATTGACTTTTAATGCGTTCGTTTGATCTCATGGATATTAATTGATATCGGTCGATCCGATAATTCTCCCCCCCCCCC